GTATAATATAATTTTTTACTGGTGGTAGGACCTCTGTCAAGTCCGCGCGGGAAGGTACCACCGCCCTGCCTATTTCTGCCGTGAAGCAGTAATGCGTTTCGGTTTGAAGGGTGGCGCAGCCGTTGTAACTATACTGCGATCTTAAAACTTATATCTCAAGGTGGGTGGCGCATTTACGTTGTAGATGTCTATCGGCTCCAGTAACCACTTTACACCAGGTGGGTTGTGAGCTCGTCCACAAATCTAAGCAATAAAAAAAAAAACAATGTAGTATGTATTTATGATCATTAAAATTTGCATATTTCACAACCCTAGAAATGCACTCAAATTTCAAGCCCGAATTTACTATTTGGGAGTTTTTTTTTTTTCATTTCGACGTTCGCGCATCAAAGAGACCGCACAAAGGATTTTCAGGAGATTTTCTCGGAATCAAGCCTGCTACAAGCATTCGCTGCGAGAATACGGCTTCGTAGCGCGTTGTGACGTAGTGCTTGCTACGAAGTGTAGGCACTACGAATTAATTTCAACGAACAATGAGAATGTATACTATGTAAAATGGAAACTAAATGAATATGCAATTTCGAAAAGGGCACATGTCACATATTTTGTCAAATACGTTTTTTCATATCCATGTAGTTTTGAGGCTTACCTACACCCATTATATAATAATTCCAGTAATTTTCAATTGCTAATTAAAACTAAAATGTATCTCAAAAGTTAATATTTTAAACTTTACACTGCTTTAGAAAATAGTCAGTTTTTTTTTCATTTCCTGAACATATTACATTTTCAGAGATTTGCCCTTTTCGAAATTGCATATTCAAATGTATATGACTTTATTTGCATCTCCAATGAAAAGATTGATATTAAGCTATTGATTGGTACTGTGAAACTAATTCGGCTAAGACGACGACGACTGAAGTCTTAGTCTTTTTATTTTTTATTGCTTAGTTGGGTGGACGAGCTCACAGCCCACCTGGTGTTAAGTGGTTACTGGAACCCATAGACATCTACAACGTAAATGCGCCACACATCTTGAGATATAAGTTCTAGGGTCTCAGTAAAGTTACCCTCACAGTTACACCTTACAGTTACCCTCTACTGAGGGTAACTTTACTAAGTTTCCCTAGCGTACTCAAAAGTAGTGGCTCCTTTGTCGTATCACTCTTGTCAGAGCGGTCGTGATCGTCATTCAGTATCATTGCTGTGGGCAGATGCAATGCGCCTCACGAGCAATCGCCGCTTCTATCGGCGCTACACTCATGCAAACAGCCGCCAACTGCCGACTTGACTTGGTCGGTCCATCGCATGGGCAACCTTCCACGCGATCTAGTGCCTTCTACTTTGCCCTGAACGACAAAGCGCACTATGGAGTCATTTACGTAGAGTAGAGGCAGTTACTTGTAATTAGGTGGTTCGTCAAATTGAAATTGGTATCCGTGAAAAATCATAAAGGCACTTAAAAGATCTAGCTCATAGGAATTCTGCAATAGAAAATGGGTCACGATATAAACTCAACGCACCCCGATAAATCGTTTCGAATCCGATTTTTAGGAACCAACCAAACGAGGATTTGTTTTATTGACTGAAAGGTTTGTTGAGTGACGGATTTTAATTTACGTCCCTTCCGTACGTACGTACAGAGCTTCGACGTTTTTGGGAGTGATAATTGCATTTTTGTCTATAAAACATTTCGTTCAGAGAAGTGGAATTAAATATTTTTGTATTTCGTCTGTTGATACTTCTTTTTATTAATAAATGTCGAGGATACGTGAATTGGCTCAGGGTCGTGCACGAATATTCATGCTTACGCCTCGCCTTTTTACGCTAAAAGCTACGTAATAATCACAGTTTGTTCATTTTTAACGAGTAAAATCAACAGCCAAAAATCGACATAAATATTGCTAGGATCAGTTGAGGTTAAAAGAAGAATTTATCTTCGGGAAAACACACACACAGTAGTTGACTTTATTGACCTTGAAGTATAAAATTAAATCCAAAAATTGCATAAAATTGCGTAGTTGCTGGTGATTACCAGCCGGCCGAAACTGAAGCTTGCGAAAAAGTTCTGTCTTCCTGTATGAAAGTCTATGTATAATTTGATAGTTCGATCTCACATCTCGAAGTAGATGTAGACTTTGTGATGTCGGGCGTAAGAGTGCAGGGGAGTCGTTTAGTGCGGTAGGGCCCTAAAATTCCTTGGGCCCGCGGTCTGCTCCCAACACCGTGCAGATCGTCAAGTCCCATATACTCCGCGCGCCCCCTAGCCGTGGGGACCTCGTAGGAGGTTCAGCCCACAACCCATAAAAAAAACATACCAGATGGGTGGTAACGCCGTGTTACATTTATTTCAATCTAAAATCATCGTAACACAGCTGCTAAAAGCGAACGTTGCATTCACACGCTTTTAACCGGTATAGATAAAACAAAAAAGTTCAACAACGATTTTAAAACTCCGTTTTCAACTGTCCAATGGACAATGTGGGTATTTGGAGCCGGCTTCGTGCGGAACCATTAAAAAGCGTTAAAACAGAAATCAACGGAGCGACGATAAAAACCAACCCTTCCAGTGTTCTCGCGCGCGACGAATCTGGCCCAATATGACGCTTATAAGCGTATGCTTAAATAATATTTATTTTAATAGCCTAAATTCAGGATAAAGATTTTAGTAGTAGTAGGCCACATTAGATAGAGGGCAAGCGCGCCGTGAGCAGAACACAAGCCAGATGGTCACATCTAGTAAAAGAAGCACTTAGTGATAGACTGTACCATGCGGTCCATACCACCCATTATCGAACACTGTGGAGAAACATTACATGTGGTCGCGATCCTCAGCAGGGAGGGAACGATATAGAAGAAGGGCGCACTGAATACATAAGAAACGATTTTCAATTTGTGTCTTAAATGCCAATTAGAAACAAACGACGCATCGTTTTATCGTGACCAAATCGGCAAAATAGGGAGCGATATTTACCCATGCGGGCACGTTTTACGCCATACCTCCAGTGATCACAGAAATTTACAAAAATTCCTTGTTTGATTTTTATTACGCGTCTGTTATTCCTTCATCGTGGTAGGCGATCGTGAAAGTTTGTCGTTTACGTATTTTCGTAATTAGACACCTTTTTTTTTCCTACGTATGATGATAGCTTTGAGAGGCTATATCAGCGTTACCCTGTAGGTGTAGGTGAGCTATCGGGGCTCAAACCAGAGGTGTCGCTAACACTGGCCCTAGCAAGAGCAGCGCTTCGCAGAATCTACCACCGGATCGAAAACGCGACCCACTGAGAAGATCCGGCTAGAAACTCAGTGGGCTGGGCACCTAAAGGAACGATGACTGGAATTGTAATTAATTATCTTCTGTTTTATATACATAGCAATAATAATTATATTTTACTACTTTTGTGACGAAGAAATATCGATAAATATGAAACTTTTATCTATCTATGTAAACATATAAAATTCGATATATGTGTATATGTATATATTATATTATATTCGGACACATCATGCGGTCTCCCAGACATGAATTAGAGAAGATCATAATTACGGGTCGAATAGAAGGCAAGCATGCCGTGGGCAGAACACCAGCCAGATGGTCAGATCTAGCAAGAGAAGCACTCGGTGGTAGTCTGTACCATGCAGTCCATGCCACCCATGAACGAGCATATTGGAAGTACGTCGCATGTGGTCGCGATCCTCAGTAGTGAAGGAACGATATAGAAGAAGAAGAAGTGTATGTTCCCTCGAAATTCCGAAAGGGCTGAACCGATTTCGCTGAAATTTTCAGTAAACCTTCTATTGGCCTAGCGGGTAATCCTATAATTATGTAAGTTTGGTAGCATTCGGATAGAGTCAAATCAAAGATCGGCCATCATAGCCAACCGCATGCATACAACTAGTTTTTAAACTTAAACCCTTACGCGTCCCACACCTCAGACCGCGTCAAAAAGTCGTATAAATTTCTTTAGTGAGGTAATCAGCGAAAATTATAACGTGTCACAGCAAGATCGAGTTCACGAAATGCGAAGCCGGTTTTATGATTTGTTTGTTTTAATAAAAGCTTCGCTCCGACGTGAGCCCTCACTATTAAAACGCGCTGAGATGATAAGTCCCCTCCCATTTTCAGTAACGAATAAAGAAAGCAAAGTAATACGGCTTTAAAACATTATTACGCAATTTACTACAGAATTTCCGCATATTTTTTTTTCTTACATCCCCCACATCAGTATGAATTTTACGCACAATATGATTAAAATGAAAATTGAGGAATTGTGTATTATTTACTAAACGAGATTTTCATGTCAGGCTAAAGATAGGGAGATAAGGTTCAGTTTTGTATGACAGTTTAAACTGATATAAGCAATACAAGCAAGTGCACAATTTGGTTTTATAGTTCATAGCCATAATTAAACTTTTAGTGCTCTAAGATCCCTCAAGCACCGGTCACCGTCCTCGTCGATTGCGTTGAAGAGTTCGACGAGCAAACTAACCCATGACACAATTCACTGGGTTTTCGCCGGACATTTTTAATGGGTCGCGATTCCGATCCGGTGGTAGATTCTGCAGACCACTGCTCTTGCTAGGGCTAGTGTTAGCAAATTCTCTCAGATTGAGCCCGTGAGCTCACTTACCTATTCAGGCATAGCTAGAACAGCCTTTTGGCTACCAACGAATAGGTAGGGAAAAAAATCAACCTTAACATATGGCCTTAACAATAAATGTCAAATTTATTGTATAAATAGCTTTATAGCAATACTGTTTTTTTTTTTGTTATCAAGACATAAAACCTTGACAACGCGAAATGAGGACATGAAATACAAGAACCGGTTATTAAGCCAAACGTATAAAAAAAAAATACAAAGACTTTTACAACGTGTATCAAGTTTATAACATTTGCCGTTTTAGAACTTATCTTTTCTTCTGAACGATTTTATTGTATTCAGTTGAACGCTTCACTTGCATTTCGATGCTCTCAGAAAAGATTAAAATCCACTCACCAGCTTTACAAGGGTCCATTCCGATGTCTCCTGATTCTTTGTATTCAAAATGCGCAGACAATAACTCGTCCACGGTAAATTTGTGCGGTTCGTTCCTCCCCTCCACCGAGGCTACTTGTAGCGTTGCGTAAACAATTAAAGCCATAACAACGGCAGCCATCGCCGGCACTACACGTATACAATTTGCAGTCATATTTAAGTAGTTTATATTTTACTATAGTACGAACACTTTAACATTGTGCGAAGCTCGGAGAGTTTATCTGTAACAAACACAAATATATGTTAATAATTTGATTTTTTTCTGGGTTCATGATTGGTTTACAGAGTATGTATTTAAGAATTAACGTAATGTTTATTTTGTACGAATAAACATATACAGTAAAATTTTTCAACTATTAGGAAATTCGAAAAAAATCATCATTCATTTCATTAACTTCCTACAAATCAATTATAAAAAATAAAAAAAATAAAAAATCCGTTGACGTTTTGACCGAATAAGATATTTCTCTAGCGGTATCCGCTACAGACCTAAGGGCAGAATTCCTAAACTCCTGTATTTGCTCGTCCGTTGTGTTTGCTCCTTACAAACAGTACAACACAATTTCTAAAATAATTTTATAACATTGTTATTTCTCTTTGAGTACATAAATAATTTTTGTGTTTTCTGGATTGAAATTTTATTAACTTTATATATATATTTTTTTTTCTGTGCGTGTGTTTGCCACTGAACTCCTCCTAAACGGCTGGGCCGATTTTAATGAAATTTTCTGTGTACCTTCAGGTGGATTCGTTAATGGCTTAGATTTATAAACCAGCCCGGCAGATGGCGATGCAGTCGGTATTTAGGTTATTTATCTTTCCTAGAAATAATTTATAAGGGCAAAACAACGTTTGCTGGGCCAATTAGTTTTTTTATAAATTATTACACACGTACTGTAATATTTTAAGGGCTTTAAATGTTCACTCATGGTAGTTGATAACATTTTGATAATGAATATTGATTGAGTGATGATTAATTACAAAAACCGGTAATATCTCGTCTGCCAACTTTAGGAAAATGTAAAAACAAAACACTTGTATTATAAATTTCGAAGAAAATAAAAACCAAATGTATTAAGTACATCGAAAGAAACTTTTCGCTAAAGTATCAGACTCGGCGAATGTTAAATCGAGCGCAACAAGGATCCGACTAATTTTCCTTTCACTCAAACTTTGTAAGCGCTTAGAAGCGACCGCCCGAAGCTTTAAAATGCTCACTCCACTTTATTGTGGAACGAATATTAATCATCTCTAGGCTCGACTTGATGTATGAAAGTGTAGCTACAAGTTTGCCGGCATCGCCTCAAACTTTGATGTCAAGAAAGTGATTTAATTCATTTTTGGAAGCGCCGTCGGTAATATATAAAAGATATCCAAAGTTTTTTTTAAATTTTTTATTTCTTTGATGGGTGGACGAGCTCACAGCCCACCTGGTGTTAAGTGGTTACTGAAGCCCATAGACATCTACCAAATAAATGCGCCACCCACCTTGAGAGTCGATAAGTTCTAAGGTCTCAAAGAATAGTTACATTAGAAGTTATATGAGAAACATTAAATAATAGTCCGCATGTTTTTAGATAAATTTGTCGGCACAATAGCTATCGATGTTTTAGTCTAAATTTAATCTCTCTGACATCAAACCACTTATGAATCATAGGCCTTGGTATATCAAGCCAGTATAAGAATAGAAGTCTAGATGAATAAATAAAAAAAATATAGTCAGAGGAAATAGTAGCTTTATGCTCTGCTGAATTGTTTGAGATCATCCCATCATCTTGTTTCTACCATCGCACCGCCCGCCACCGGAGCTATGACCGTCCATACTACTTGGAACCACTGTCTTCATCCATAGTGCCTTTCCACAGATCGTTTCTGCCGCGTACCATCCGACTTTTGAATTAACTCCCCTTCACGGTATTTCCGTAAAGTATTATTATGACACTAGCGACCCGCCCTCGCTTCGCTTCGGAAACATTAAAACACACATGAAACAAAAAAAAAAAAAGAAATTTTTTTTTTTAAAAAGTAGCCTATGTTCATCAGGGACAATGTCGGCTTCTAATGGAAAAAGAATTTTTCAAATCGGTCCAGTAGTTTCGGAGCCTATTCGAAACAAACAAACAAACAAATCTTTCCTCTTTATAATATTATTACTATTACTATAGATGTTCTTCTTCAAACGAGAGTTGCAGAAAGTATTTAGCGGTAAGCAGCCGCTTGGCATTACTCTTGGCATTGCTGACATCCGTTAGAGACGGTAACCACTCACCTATATCGGGTCGTATGCTCGTTTGCCTAGAGGGACAACTATAACTCATAATTAAAGTATAGTTTCCTTTTAATAAAATATCACTTTAACTAATTAGATATTCAATACTTTCAACATAATATTTTATTTTTTATTCACATTTTGAATACCTATATAGTAATGTATTTTTATCATAGATTCACGTCTCTGTAATTGCACATTCTGCGATTTTCTGGTTTGTAAGTAATGCAAAAGAACTATTGAAATGACTGTATAATATTCATCAACATGCTACCTTAGGATCATTTGATTGAAGTCTTAAAATTATTACAACAAGGGCAATCTTACTCTGCGAATCAAAAGGCATGTGTGCTTCGCGAGAGAATTTGACGTGGGTGCCGGCTTATTCGATTGTTGGTACACATCACTCAGAATAGGCTTCTCATTTACGATGCAAAGAAAGTTGTTTTTATTTTAGCTTAAATTAGCATTCCTTCATCCATACGCGCCTAGCTAGATTAGCCCCTTGGGCTATCAGGGAAAAGGTAGGGGAACATAATCCTTCATCGTAGGTGTTCATGCATACAATGCTAACAAGGACGTAATATATATATATTTTTTTATGGCTTAGATGTGTAGACGAGCTCACAGCCCACCTGGTGTTAAGTGGTTACTGGAGCCCATATACATCTACAACGTAAATGCGCCACCCACCTTGAGATATAAGTTCTAAGGTCTCAGTATAGTTACAACGGCTACCTCACCCTTCAAACCGAAACGCATTACTGGTTCACGGCACAAATAGGCGGTGAATGTCTTTTTTATGTTAGCGTGTTACGTGCGTGTATAATTATGTAAACAAACAGTTTTACCCGCAACATCAGTTAGATCTCTGATATGACGATTAGCGGGCCGCCGTAAAACTAGTTGGCAACAACTTGGCCCAAACTTTGGTCGAGTTAACCCAAGATTAGTTGGAGTAAACGCTTTGTAATTCCTCAGCAAGTTTCACTCTGTTTTAGTTGGGCTTCGCGGTTTTTCGGGGTGTTGGCTCCAAAATGCACCAGCCTGCGGAGCATTAATCACGGGTAGAGGAATTTGTCTTAAGTGTTGTGCAAACTCGGCCTTACAATGTTAGATTATATGTGTAATTAACATTAAAGTTTATGTTGGCACAGAATTTTATTTTGTTTGCTTTAAGCATATTTCGAAACGAGACGTCATTTGACAATTTTAATTCTCTTCATGCTCAAACTGCCCGCAATTATGTTAAATTTGTTTTCAATCAAAAGAGCTTGAACTCGAGTTGCCGCCATTTTAATTTGATCATAATTCCGTCTGCTTCCCCCTTGCAGTTATATAAATACATGTATTCAATAAAAAATATGCTTTGGTGTTCAATACAGTATATTGTCTCTCTTTCGCTCTATAATCATAGAAAAAAAAAGAAATCCGACAATATCCTGAATCGCGCTAACGTCAATTTCATAACAAAGACAGCATTTCATTTAGACATTATAAATAAATGAATACATTAGAATTGTCCGTCTACTGAGCATTGAGATGCGCTGATGGAAGATCATACAAACGACGTAAAAATTGAAGCTTGGGCACTAAGGACATCATCGCCTAACTAACTTTAAAAATTACAGCTCGTGGACTCTTGCAGCTCACAAGCACCAAACAACAGCCTCCCTAAAGTAAGTCAGCATCGCAGCTGACCAACCCTCAATGCCGCATCGATCCTCTACAGTCCAATGTTCCATTACAGTCCAATGTTCCCATCCAGTCCATCACTTTTCTACAGTCCATCGTATTCCATGAGAGTTTTTTTACTGGTGGTAGGTCCTCTTGTGAGTCCGCACGGGTAGGTATCTCCACCTCGCCTATTTCTGCCGAAAAGCAGTAATGTGTTTCGGTTTGAAGGATGGGGCAGCCGTTGTAACTATACTGAGTCTTTAGAACTTATATCTCAAGGTGGGTGGCGCATCTTACGTTGTAGATGTATATGGGCTCCAGTAAACATTTCACACCAGGTGGGCTGTGAGCTCGTCCACCCATCTAAGCAATAAAAAAAAGCTCAGATCAAACCGTACTCACAATATTTTCAAGATAAACCTGCATAGAACACTCTAATTACTCTCCATAACAACATAACAGCGTTTGGATTGTTTTGCGGAAGATCTTTCTACTAACGTCCCCTATAGTGTAAAGCGATACATATCTCTCTCTTTCCGACATCGGGACATAAGTTTGGAACGTTTCTTAGAATTTTGTCACACAGACGTACAAAATTTATCTGCTGTTGAGGTCGTGAACTCTGGTGATAAAACGAAAGGTCACGGTCGATTGATAACGAACATGTCCTGTGACAAAATATTTACGACAATAATATCATCCTTGTAAAGTCAGTTATTCAGAAATCTAATCACATTCATTGATATAATATGAAACAGGCACTGATTTTTTGAAATTCCCGCGCTGTCAATTACACCTTCTTGTTTAATTATTATTTTGTAATTCGTGTCTGATTGCTCAAAATTAAATCCAGTTATAATTACGTTATTGGTCGTTAATGTTCCTCGAATTTTATAGAGTTTAATGGAGGCTATATGATGGGTGTCTATAACAACATTAGATGCGGTTTAAAATTAATTGTTCATTCGATAGCTTAATTCTGTTATCCTTAATGTTATTAATTAGCATAATAATCTACAGTCATTAATAGTTTAAACGCCGACGAGCAAACACTCCTAATTTGCTGCATTGTAAACTTTATATGTCCGATACTAATTCATTGTCGGCAAGTTTGTTTTAATACAAACTATATCATGTTCATTTCGTCTACATTGTAACTTAAATGACTTAATGGGTAGTTCTGTGATTAAATCTATATATAAATACGTGAAGCAAAAACTTTGTATCCCTTTTTACGAAAATTGCGCGGACGGAGGAGTATGAAATTTTCCACAT